GCTACTCAGCTGGCATCTCTTATCTTTTCTTCCTGTGGCCTAAGGAGATTACTTTCCAGCTTAGCCTCTTTATGGCCACCACACAGAGTGAAGGCAAACAAGGTTGCTCTAGTTAGGGTATTATTGCTGTGATAAAACACCGTGACCAAAGCGGCTTGGGAGGAAAAGGTTTATTTGGCTTACACCCCCACATTACTATTCATGGAAGGAAGGCAGGACAGGAACTTAAACAGGGCAGGATCCTGGAGGCAGGAGCTGATGCAGAGGCCACAGAGGAGAACTACTCCCTGGCTTATTCCCCTGTTGCTCAGCCTGCTATCTTCTAGAACTCAGGACTACCTGCCCAGGGTGGCCCCACCCACAATTGGCCAGGCCCTCCCACATCAGTCACAAAGAAAATGCCCTACAGGCTTGTCTACAGCTCAATCTTAGGGAGACGTTTTCTTAATTGAGGCTCCTTCTTCTCCAGTGACTCTAGCTTGTGTCAAGTTGACATAAAACTAACCAGCACACAAGTCAAGGGATGCCTTGGACCTGGGAGTCACTGGAAGTGTCTGCTTTTCTTGCTGGCTCTGGAAGCTGGAATTCCTTTTAGAGTGTTTCCTGGAAGGCAGACCCTTGTCCTTTCCCTAACTTTGAAGTCCTGGCTGCTTCCCTCATCATCCCCTACTGTGAGGTTTTTAAAAACAACTTAAATATTGTACCCTCAGCTCTCTTCGTCCTTTGTACCCTCATCAGCTTTTAATAGGCCTGGACCCATATTGACTACTCTATAAACAATGATGTAGAGGCCAGCATCACTGTTAACAAGACTCGTTCTCACCTGTGATGCAAAATACCACTGAATTGATTTCATTTGTGATTTTCCTCATAAAGTTTTAATTATTCCTTCTTTCTTATAAGATAGATCTTTAGAGAATATTGGTTAGTGAGCACGTTAGTAGAAGAGCTAAAACTGCAGAACAAATCTTTTTTCATTTTTCTTTTGTTTTAGTTTCTTAAGGAAAGGTCTTATTCTGCAGTCTAGGCTCATCTAGGACTCACTGTGTAGCCTAGACTAACCTTGAACTCATGGCATCCTCCTGCCTCATCCTCCTGCATTCTGGGACTCTTTCTGTAGTAGAAAGAACAGAACAGGTGCTGAAGGAAATGCTACATTTTGCCATTATTCATATTATTTCTTCTTTCAAATGTTCCTACTCCAAAGATGCCATCTTTGTGTGATCCCAATGACTAGTCTACTATTTTTCATGGCTGTCATAATGTATTCAGCACATTTCTCTGCTTCTTCCTTCTATTGGAACATTTTCATGTCTTTAGGTAACCTATCAACCCAGAGGTAGTTCCAAAGCTTTGCCCTTAATTTGCATTTTTTCCTTTGAGACATGGTCTAGCTATATGGCCCAGGCTGGCCTGGAACTTGCTATGTTATGAAGGCTGGCTTCAAACCTACAATCTCCTGCTTCAGCCTCTGAAGTCTGGGTCTGCAGGTGTGTACTACCTTCAGCTGTAACTTCTCTAAGAATATCATGTCAAGCCATTATCTTGTCTAAAGCTTTTCTATCCATGTGTCTTTGCAACTTGCCTGTTTATGCTCATGGCTCAGCTCCAGTGACCAAAATGAAACACCCAATGGCGCAGTCACCACTGTAAACACTATGAGACCCTTATACAAATCTGTAACCAAAAGGCTGGATGGTCCAGTAGAATGTACATATCTGGGAGGGACATAGCTCTGATTGAAGGATGCTTTAGTGAAGCATCACAGTCAAAGTTAGATTTGGGCTCAATCCATTTCCACCAAGAAAAATAAAAATAAAGCACACAGTTCTTAAAGGATGAGTTTCTCTACTCCAAAGATTCCATCTTTATGTGTGATTCCAATGACTGGTCCACTATTTTTTATGTATTAATGTCATTCAGTATATTCGTGTCATAATGTATTCAGCTTGGGCAACTCTTCCATGAGGTGAGAATGCAGAAGCTGATAGGTCAGTTCTGATGCTGACTGAGCTCATAGTCCTAATACCACCAGGACACATAATGCTTCCATGCTTCCATGTCTAAAGCCCACTCTATTCTATTCTTCTCTTCTCTTCTCTTCTCTTCTCTTCTCTTCTCTTCTCTTCTCTTCTCTTCTCTTCTCTTCTCTTCTCTTCTCTTCCCTTCCCTTCCCTTC